ACTCATTAAAGACTTGAGTAAATCAAGTAGTCGCTCAGGGAGGTCAATACAATGAAGAGACTTCAGAATCCATTCGTGAGGGACAGAGTCGTATGCTTTTTTGAAGTCAATCCAGCACATGGAGAGGTTGCGGTGATATGTTTTAGCCTCTTCCAAAATCATTTTCTGTCGAGAAGTTGATCTTTGCACCCCCAACATCCCTTTCTTGCCCCCTTTCTGAAAGAATGAGTCCACGGTGTCGATAGTCAATGGAGTTGAAAATGCCGATGTTTTGTTGTGTTCAGCTAACCGAACGTCGGGACTGTGCTGTTGACAATGTTTCATGGCGACTGTCGATCGCAATAACAATACTTATTTCCCTCAAAGAAACTCTTTGTACACATGAAAGCGGTAACAGGTTGTCGACATTAAATGACGTGATGAACGAGGAAACAATACAGAAATTTCGTACTTTACGAGATAAGGGCGGTGGGATAGCTTAATAGTTGAAGCGTCCGCTCGTCACGCTAAATACCCGGGTTTGATTCCCTACATGTGTACAAAGTGTGAGCCCCTTTCTGGTTGCTGGAATATTGATAAAAGCGGCGTAAAACCATACCCACTTACTCACTCAAGTTCCCCCTCTGACATACACGTGTCATCTCTTCTTGTAACTTTCAAGTTAAGAAACGTTATAGTCACGTATCTTTGTTTGACTTGTGATATATATTTCCTCAGCCTTCATCCCTCATCGCAACCATCCAACGCAGAGCTGAAGACGTGTGTTATATTCCCTCATCGCAACCAACCAACCATTCACGTAGAGCTGAAGACGTGTGTTGTATTCCCTCATCGCAACCAACCAACCATTCATGTAGAGCTGAAAACGTGTGTTGTATTCCCTCATCGCTACCAACCAACCATTCACGTAGAGCTGAAGACGTGTGATGTATACCCTCATCATAACCAACCAACCATTTACGTAGAGCTGAAGACGTGTGTTGTATCCCTCACCGCAACCAACCAACCATTCACGTAGAGATGAAGATGTGTGTTATTCCCTCATCGCACCCAACCATTCATGTAGAGCTGAAGACGTGTGATGTATTCCCTCATCGCAACCAACCAACTATTCATGCAGAGCTGAAGACGTGTGATGTATTCCCTCATCGCAACCAACCAACCATTCTCGTAGAGCTGAAGACGTGTGATGTATTCCCTCATCGCAACCAACCAACTATTCACGTAGAGCTGAAGACGTGTGATGTATTCCCTCATTGCAACCAACCAACCATTCATGTAGAGCTGAAAACGTGTGTTGTATTCCCTCATCGCTACCAACCAACCATTCACGTAGAGCTGAAGACGTGTGATGTATACCCTCATCATAACCAACCAACCATTTACGTAGAGCTGAAGACGTGTGTTGTATCCCTCACCGCAACCAACCAACCATTCACGTAGAGATGAAGATGTGTGTTATTCCCTCATCGCACCCAACCATTCATGTAGAGCTGAAGACGTGCGATGTATTCCCTCATCGCAACCAACCAACTATTCATGCAGAGCTGAAGACGTGTGATGTATTCCCTCATCGCAACCAACCAACCATTCTCGTAGAGCTGAAGACGTGTGATGTATTCCCTCATCGCAACCAACCAACTATTCACGTAGAGCTGAAGACGTGTGATGTATTCCCTCATTGCAACCAACCAACCATTCATGCAGAGCTGAAGACGTGTGATGTATTCCCTCATCGCAACCAACCAACCATTCATGCAGAGCTGAAGACGTGTGATGTATTCCCTCATCGCAACCAACCAACCATTCACGTAAAGCTGAAGACGTGTGATGTATTCCCTCATCGCTACCAACCAACCATTCACGTAGAGCTGAAGACGTGTGATGTATTCCCTCATCGCAACCAACCAACTATTCACGTAGAGCTGAAGACGTGTGATGTATTCCCTCATTGCAACCAACCAACCATTCATGTAGAGCTGAAGACGTGTGATGTATTCCCTCATCGCAACCAACCAACCATTCATGCAGAGCTGAAGACGTGTGATGTATTCCCTCATTGCAACCAACCAACCATTCATGCAGAGCTGAAGACGTGTGATGTATTCCCTCATCGCAACCAACCAACCATTCATGCAGAGCTGAAGACGTGTGATGTATTCCCTCATCGCAACCAACCAACCATTCACGTAGAGCTGAAGACGTGTGATGTATTCCCTCATCGCTACCAACCAACCATTCACGTAGAGCTGAAGACGTGTGATGTATACCCTCATCATAACCAACCAACCATTCACGTAGAGCTGAAGACGTGTGTTGTATCCCTCACCGCAACCAACCAACCATTCACGTAGAGATGAAGATGTGTGTTATTCCCTCATCGCATCCAACCATTCATGTAGAGCTGAAGACGTGTGATGTATTCCCTCATCGCAACCAACCAACTATTCACGTAGAGCTGAAGACGTGTGATGTATTCCCTCATCGCAACCAACCAACTATTCACGTAGAGCTGAGACGTGTGATGTATTCCCTCATCGCAAACAACCAACCATTCATGCAGAGCTGAAGACGTGTGATGTATTCCCTCATCGCAACCAACAAACCAACCATTCACGTAGAGCTGAAGACGTGTGATGTATTCCCTCATCGCAACCAACCAGCCATTCATGCAGAGCTGAAGACGTGTGATGTATTCCCTCATCGCAACCAACCAACCATTCATGCAGAGCTGAAGACGTGTGATGTATTCCCTCATCGCAATCAACCAACCATTCACGTAGAGCTGAAGACGTGTGTTGTATTCCCTTCAGTTGAAGCGTATCATCCACAGCATGTGAGACAGTATGGTCTTATGCCGCTTTTAGCAACATTCCAGCAATATCACGTCGGGCGACACCAGGAATGGATAAGGGTAAATTACATTATAACATTTCGTATTTTGTTAGGTTTCACAACAGAAAATAGCGATTGACACATATACGTGGTAAACAGTAAATCAGTACATTGTATATCAGTTTTCTCGCCTAATGGTAACGGTTAACCGAGTCTTGAGATTTTCTTCAATATAGTAGCTCAGATTTTTGCTACTGTTTGTTGTTACAAAGGTAAAGAACAACACTAGAGGAAACTACACGAATGAATCACGGAAAATCAGGGATAACACTAGGTGTTTGTTGAAAGGGTATACGCGTTCGGCACTACAGGCAGCACAAACACTACATTCAGTTGGTATTAAACACGGCGGTGTTTACGATGAGTGAGTGAGTGAGTGAGTTTGGTTTTACGCCGCTTTTACAATATTCCAGCAATATCACGGCGGAGTATACCAGAAATGGGCTTCACACATTTAACCCATGTGGGGAATCGAAACCGGGTCTTCAGCGTGACGTGTGAACACTTTAACCACTAGACTACCCCACCGCCCCATGTTTACGATGAGACAATGAGACATGTAAACAAACCAGCAATCAAGTGATGAACCAGATCATCCAACCAAAATGAGGCACATTGAAAGTTTTGATGAAAACTAAAGTACAAATGCAGGCATTGTACGTGGCTTGTGACTAAAGAAAAAACGTTTCTAGTATGTTCGTTTTGCAACACAGTAAGGGTGGTTAAAGTGTTCTTTGAGAGGCATTCTAAAAGCGGTTTTAATTTCTCGGCTCGAACATGTCTTTTGTAGATGACCCGAACGTGTCTTTCATGATCAAAACTGATAACAGCAATTGTGCTTATGATGAAAGTCGTCCGCAGAACTCACTAATCAGTTTAAGTAAATGAACCAACTTCCGACGAAACACTCTATTATGTTTCATCGTGTTCTGTTCGTATTGATGTCCTCTGTGCAATAACAGTAACAGATGCATATCAAATATGCATGAAAGAGATCATTTCGTAGGAAAATGTGCCATTCACAGATCCATAGGTTGAAAGTTTTGCAAGGAGAACATATTCTTGTATTCTTCAAACACCAAATGAAAAACTGACTTTCAATCAGAATAAGTGCTAAAACCGTTTTTCTCATCAATTCCTAAGTTTCGCGTTAACTGGGGTGGATGGGTGGGATTTCAATCAACCTGTACTCAACCAAGCGTCAAGGGGATTTTGTTATAGCAAATATCGAATCTTTCTCATTGATTTCCAAGCACACACGGCATCTCAACCAATTCCAGAAACACAATTACATCTGCCCTTCGTGAGATCAATAGGGAATACACCTTGCTGTCAGACAAGGCTTCTTCGGAGAAGTTGTAACGGTGGAGTGAGTTAATATTCCACGTTGCATTGGTATTGCTTCAGCCATATAGAAACTGTCATAGTGGAAATGGATCGGACTCTTGCTTCTGTTTTCTTTTTTTTTATTTGAAACAAAGTGTTTCATACCTTTTCACAAATCTGAAATTGAACAGGCAATTGTCGAGTAACGTCAGACACTTTGAGTGTGAAAAGATGACTGAGCTAGGACCGGAACTTTTTCACCTGATACAATGTTTCTGTTATGAGTCAAGCATAAACAAAGAACATCAAAAACGATCAAACACACCGGATCGATGCATTGTGTGATCTTAAATAAATATCAATGAGTTATTAAAATTCAAGGTAAAACACGCGAAAAAGATGATAAACTCCCACAATTATCAATACATGTTGATCAAAGTAGCTCCGTCGGTTTCTTATAATGACCCAACGTTCTATGTTATTTCAATCAATGTAATATATACTTGGGACGTCTTGTTAGTGCTAATGATATTTCGCATCAGCAAATTTTCCGTTCAGAAAGAAACTAGCGCTTGACGCATTTTGATTGATCACTGACCTGTTAAAGAAACATTAAAATATTATAACTACCTGTAATTAAGGGAGAACTAAAGACCAACAAGCGCCGAGAAGCCCATAAGTATTGACAATCACCCGACAAGACGTTAAAGCATTGGGTAATCAAGACAAACAAGGCGTTATTGTACCAGTGACACTGAGTTAAGCTCATTTTGCCCGTGTACAAGACAGCCAGTGCTGCAGGCCTCGTCAGTTGACAACAATAGACGTCTATGCAAGACGCGTCGGCAGATATTGGGACATACTATGGATGTACTATATACCATGCTAATCTTGTACCATATTCTAGCCATTCTGCTATCATCAGTGTGTATGATAAACACGGACAATTACCGAGTTCTGACCTCGTGTCCTGGACAGATCATGAAAAGTCAGTTTATATCCTTTACAATTCGTGTTGTAAGTAAGTTGGACTGTGGAAGAAAATGTTCTGAGGACGATTCCTGCATGTCGTTTCATTACAGTTCCCTGTCCAGGATATGCCACCTGAACAATGATTTTGATCAAGGGGACTGTGTTAAGATGGAAACTAATTCGGAGATGGTTTACCATGAGAAGGTATGGATATACTTTAGACTGAAAATTATATTATTAACATCTAAATGTATAATTTGTTATTTTCCCTGGGATTCCGGGTTAGAATAATTGTATAGAATACAATGTACATGTATATAAAAGTATCCGTATAGTATTAACTGTGTTCGTCTCTCAACTGATCACGTAACTTTGTTTCAGCTGTTTCGCATTGTCAGCTGAGAAATATTTGCAGTAGCAGAACGCGTGAATAGCGTTGAACACAAGTAAAACCAGTCCAAATTATAGTCCATAATAAGTAAATTTGTAATCCGCGAAGAAATAACCGAATCATATTTCAACGGTTTCAAATTTGGAGTTTTGTTTCCCTTTAATTTTGTAATGGGGTAGTCAGCCTCTTTGACTTTACTTGTAGGATGACTGACTTAAACTCAAACTACAACTTCATCAGCACTGAGTTCGGCATTTTTACAAATCTTCTTGATTGTACATTTCTTTTGGTAGCTAGATTTCTGAATTTGACTAAATCCTCAGAATCAAAATGGAAAGCTTTGGAAATTGTTAGGCTTCTCTTTTAGTTCTGACAGTTTAATTTCCTTCAACCACGTGTGGTCAGATCCAAATATTTCCCAACATGCACATACAGAAGATACAGTAAATAACAGTTGTAACTAACTCAAAGGGACCGCTAGTTTTAGTTCTTGGTTAGTTATATACCCCTTTCAACTGAAAGTTTTAGCAAGTGGCTGGAGCAAAAACAAGGGAATTCGTTATAAGCATGTTTTTTTATAAACGTAGCTGACTGTAATAAGTAATTGTTAATGAATAATGATAAGCTCTTCAGAATAAGACACGCATAAGCCAAAAATAAGGTAATATATTAAACTATTTAAGTGTACATAAGTCGATTAAGCTTGAACATAGATGAAGGACATTCGACACACGGATGAGCATATGTATTGTTGTCATTGTCAGCATTAATAACACGAGCTGTGTGGAGTCGAGCGTTGTCGTGTTGAAACATCACCCTCTGGTGGTTAAAAATGGGAGGAGGTTAGGTCGCAGGATTTGGCCGATGTAGCGATTGCTGTAAGATTGCCTTGAACCACTCTGATCTACCCGTGTAGGACATGGCTCATCACACCATGACGCTTTCTCCACCAAATATGTCCACCTGTCGAACGAAGTTCGGCGCAAAACGTTCGTGACGACGTCGTTAGACACGTTGTCTCATATTTCCACTTCTCTGAGACGATTTCTGACGGTTCGAAGACCAGGAACCTGTCCTGCAATGTCCGTTGCTGTAGCACATCGGTGACGTAGGTGAAACATCCTGATGAATCGGTCATGAGCAGGAGTGGTCACTCTTGGTCTTCCTCTCCTGGGACGATCTTGGGTCGAATTGAAGCGGGTATATCGATGCCATAATGGAGATATGGTGCTGTGGTGGGCGTCGAAGTGTCTTGCAACGGCAGACTGGGACCAGTGCTTCCAAACGTCCAATGACGACATATCGGTCAGTAGCATTCAGTCTTGGCATTTCATTTATTTTCGTTTAGGTCGTAAATTTCGTAATGAAATGATGAATTTGGTTTGGCCTGTTACAGTCCATGTCTCTACTCATGTTTCCGACACATTGCACGTGCCTTACGTGGAAAACTTTTTCTGCATGCACTTTTCAGGTATTGTTTTCATTTCATATGACAAACGTTTACAAACACGTTTTGGGGTGCGTTTACGGAAAAACACAACAACCACGACACGATTAACGGGATTCAAATATAGGAATTGTCTTAATAACGATTGCTGTCAAAATATGCTCTTCAAAAAATGAAATGCACAGAAGTTCACTTCGATATATTTTTATCAATTTTTAACAATGGGGCACACACTGGCAAGGGGTATGCATTGGTCTCGGTTAATGGCTGACTTCTATCGTTTATCTACTACATAATCTCTGGTGTGGTGCTGAGGAGCTATACACCTGTGAAATACCGGGTCTTCAGCAACCCATGCTTGTCGTAAGGGACGACTAACGTGATCTGATGGTCAGGATCGCTGACTTGTTTGACACATGTCATCATGGATATAAATTACTTCAAATATGTAAATGCCTGAACATGTCTATCTGTAATGGTCGAATACAACCGGATAATGCGGAGGGTGAGTTCACTTGTAATGATAAAACTGTGATTGACTATTTGATTGCTTCTCCATCAGTACTAAGAATAATTTCGAATTTTAATGTTGGAGAGTTGTTACCGTTTTAATCGGACGTACACTCTCCATTGTCCTTTTCCATTCAAGCATCGAGTTGTCCAGTAGCCGAGCAGTCTCTTCTGCAATAATAATAGAGGTGCACCCATTCAGGCAAATCAACCAAATCGTTTTGATGATAAACTAGCAGCCCAGTTTCAGGATAACATTGATGTGGAGAAGCTTGACATCATACTCGATCGGCTTCATAATAAGTCAAATGAAACCGTCGACAAACAATTTGTGAGTAGCATCGGTACTGATATCTCTAATGTGCACCTTGATGCTGCTCGGTCTACTTATGGTTTTAAACGTAATAATGTCCATGTCTCAATCAAGGTTAGACATACTAGAAAGCAAAAGCCATCGTTTAACAGGGAGTGTAAAATTATGCGAAATTGCTACTATAAAACAAAAGTAATTTTAACAAAAATAGGTCCTTGTTAAATAGAACCAAATATAAACTTGCATCAAAATCTTATAAAACGTGCCAAGATAAATATATTAAACAATATATATGTAAGACAAGGACTATTTTACGTCACAACAAAACGTATGCTTCAAAGGATTACTGGAAAACTTTGAATAATGGTAAGAATAGTAAACAAGTAAAACATATCTGGACAATATTTTTCAATTTTTCAAAGAATTAAGTAATCGGAATGATAATAATTCATCACAAGATTTTGTTAACCCTAATCCAATCGAGACAGATATTCTTAATTCAGATATCACGTGTCATGAAAAAATTTCATCAGTTAAAAAGCTAAAAAGTACGGAAGCGTTCGGTGATCAGTCTTACTATCTCCTACGTAAAGCGTAGGAAAAGTACGTAGGACATAGTATCTCCTACGTAGGGTATCTCCTACGTGGGACTTAGTATCTCCTACGTAGGACATATTATCTCTTACGTAGGGTCTCCTACTTAGTATCTCCTACGTAGTTAGTCTCTCCTAGTATCTCCTTCGTAGGACTTAGTATCTCCTACGTAGGGAGAATCTCCACGTAGTATCTCCTACGTAGGACTTAGTATCTCCTACGTAGGACTTAGTATCTCCTACGTAGGACATATTATCTCTTACGTAGGACTTAGTATCTCCTACGAAGGACTTAGTATCTCCCTACGTAGGAGTTAGTCTTCCCTAACTTGTGATATATATTCCTACGTATTAATCTGACGTACGGTCTACTTAAAGTTCAGTAGGACGCTCTCTCCACTCCTGTTTCACTGTTACTGTATCTCACTGTATCTGTCTACATCTCCTTTATTCATTTCATTACTACTGAGTCTATAGTTAATCTGTGTTTAAAGCCATTTACTGTTCCTGTTTCTACTAGTCACTGTATGAGTCTACAGTCATTCAATTTACTACAGTTATGTGTTTCATTTCTACTGTTAGAGTCTACTATCATGTGTTTCAATTTACTATGAGTCTATGTGTTCAAGTAGAGTCATTGTTCAACTAATGCATATTAGTACTGTGTTGGACCGACTGTTATACTTTACTGCCTTGCGTTCAGTTTGCTCTACTATTACGCGTTGCAGTTAGTTCACTGTTATATGTTGCACTTTGTTACACTTTGCTATTATGCATTGGATAGTTCAGAGGTCGTTGCACATGAATCATAATCTGCGTGTACAGACGTGTCTTAGACTATAGGTGGCAATCTATGTGTACGTATCCCCTTATATTTATACAAATAACTATAATGACAATTCTTTGCCTTTTTGAATTTCGTATTGTTTTACGCCGCACTCAACACTTGTCGGCCCCAGTCAAGTCAACCTGTAAACAATTACGAATAAAACCGCAAACGAGCGTTGCATCCGATCCAACCTAGCCCCATCAAGACAAACACACAACTTGCGGAGGTCGTGTTATAACCCGAGTTTCATATCACAACCTCACCCCAACCATCCCACCGACCCGTGTGTGTGTGTGTGTGTGTGTGTGTGTGTTTGTGTGTGTGAATAGATGTATGTATGATAGATTAAACATAACCATACCCAAACCTCCATAACTGCAATTAGAACAGGGTCCACGTCACCCTAACGTAATACACACACAATAACACTGTACAGTAACACTGCGTTAGTGTCATGAATATTCACTGACTCACATTTCGACTATCTAACGTCCTGCATAGCCAAACATTTCTCAACTTAATATTAGATTTTAAGTCCTACGTAGGAGATATTAAGTTCAGAACTATACTTCCTAATATTCAAGGGTTCATCACTTGGTTACCATGGCAATGAAGATAAGGAATCTAAGTTGAATTATGAGGTTAGAAAGCATTGTCAATGTCAAATCAGCTAATGTTTCTACCAAGCAATACTTTAGTTCCGGTTTTGTGCTGATCAATAAATATTGCAGTGCAATAAATGATAACAAAGATTAATCATAAAATGTTTCGATATCAATAGATCAATACCCCGACAGGTTAACATCCACCTGACACCTTTTACGGTCGGGTTACAAAGGCTATACATATTGGATATACTCTGCGAAAGAGGTTAAGCAACATTTCATATTGTGTGTGTGTGTGTGTGTGTGTGTGTGTGTGCGTGTGTGCGTGCGTGCGTGCGTGTGTGTGCGTGCGTGCGTGTGGACGTGGGGGCGGGGGAGTTTGAAATAGATAAATTGTCCCAGAAAATGTTTGAAAAGGCAATTATGCTTGAAAGTGTGGTAATACAAACAAGGTGTATCTGTTAGAGAGAGTTAACGATTGGGAAAAATAATGATGTTATTGTGACAATGTATTTCGTTTATGCATACCCCCGCCAATGTAACACGGCACGGAGGCCAACTACTTTAAATTTAATTATACATCGATATATATCGCCATCTAAATTTAGACAACTGCGAACGTTGCACTATAACTTAACCACTTGTCTGGTTCCAAGTAGTTACAGACTGCCAACCATATAGAGACACAACCGTGTCAACGGTCGAACAAATTCGTTTTATTTATTTACAAATTCTGAAGTATATTCGTACTGGAAAACATGAAGATAATCACATAAAATATTGACAGCGATAGACAAATATTTTCAGCAAGTGGTATTTTATATACATCTAGTAAAAAGTTAAGCACCCCTATATATGTTTACCGCTAACTGTAGTATTATCAAATTTACCTTGTGCATGATGATATGTATGATAATAATGGGTTATTTTTCTGCCACTACGGTACGATGAAGATTGTCATATAGTGAGAGATGGCAAATTTACGGTATGCATACTTGTCAGCCGTTTGGTTAGAAACCAAGGAAACCAATGAGATGAAGGGTCGCCCATGTTCTAGATGACGTGAAGACAGGCCATTATGGAGACTCACACAACCGTGTTCTGAAGTACCACTGGTTACCATTTCGCAATGCTCCACGAGAACAGTCCGGAATCGCCATAGAAGAGCCGCGTACAACTCTAGAATGGTCATCAAACGCCCTTTACTCAGCAATCATCACCTTTGGTTTGGTGTTTGCCACAGCAACGCTAGAATCTGGGGACTTGGCGAAGAATACATCAGTCTGGTGAAAGCTGATTGACGCTTGAAAGTTTGGCGGCAGCTAAATGCAGCATATGCAGCAAAAACATTCACCCAACTGTAGCCTTTGGTGGAGTTTCCGTCATGGTGTAGGAGTGTGTCTCTCATACCTGTAACACTGACTTGGTGACAGTACGGGGGAACTTGACGGGTGATCAGTATATCCAGGAAGTCCTGGGTCCAGTTGCTGTCCGTCATGTAGATAATCATCCTCTTGCTACAGGACCAGTATTTATGGATGACAACGCTAGACCACAGCGTTCTCCCACAGGGACAGCATTCATTCAGAATAATGCACCTTCCTTTGTTCGCCGTGAGTCCAGACATGAGCCCTCTGTAGCACATTTGGGACTTTATCGGGCACAAGCGTGCGTACCACCTGTTCAGAATTGGAAGCAGCTTTGCACCAAGAATGACGATATCTGACGGGGTTTCTGCGACGTAAGGTACAGGCAGTTATCCAAGCACGAGGAGGGTACACTAGATATTATTTACAGCGTTCCCATGTTACAGATAAGCGATTTTGATGCACCTCTGTCCTGCTCCACACTTGTAACACGTATAGTTTTGAGCCAAAACGGACGATTTGTGTATTCTGCCACAACCATGGTTAAAACGTTGAAGCAAACTCTGTGTGTTTTCTTGTAGTGAAGACATTATCTTACAGAACAAAAAACATGCATCTTTACCAACGTACTGTGCGTGCACACCACTGTTGTTAGCCGAAACATACAACCATGTAACGTTTTTACATGTGTTACATATTCCATTTGGTTATTTTCAGGTTCAAGAGTGTGCAAATGGCGGTATTCTACAACCCGACTCGAGTTGCCAGTGCGTCAATGGCTACGTTGGTACAAGGTGTGAACGTTTAATGACAGGTAGGTGGGTGTCGTGGGGAAGTGTGTGGAATTTCGCTTCATTTTCACTGTTTCAAAAACATTTGTGCATTTTTGACGTTTTGGATAGTACCCGTTATCATATTAATGATTTCAGGTTATTACCAACTGTATTTATAAGTAATCTTAAAAATTAATTAATTTTTTCGCCACTGCCAACAAACTTTTAACTTTTGGCAATTTCGAAATCAAATGGATACTATCTAACAGTCACTGAAAATCACTAAGAGAAGCCCTAACAAATTTACAATTAATTCTTCGGAATACCAGTATTCTGACTCTCATGGAAAACGATTGATTGTCCGTATTTCATTATAGGAAACGGGGCGATAGGGTAGCCAAGTGGTTAAAGCGTTTGCTCGTCATGACCCGGGTTCGAGTCCCCACATGGGTACATTGTGTGAAGCCCATTTCTGGTGTCCCCTGCCGCGATATTGCTGGAATATTGCTAAAAACGGCGTAAAACCATACTCACTCACTCACTCACTCATTATAAGGTACGGAAAAACAATCACTGCTATTTCCGAACAGATGATTGATTTTGATATTCGTTGTTGACGAAACTACAGGTGTGACAGCAGAGAACAGCACAGTTTCATTCACAAGAATAATTCAAATGTGTTACTTCACGAAAACGTTCCCGTCAGCTTTCGAAAATGTCCACAAGGTGATGTTGTTAAAAATAATAACTACATCTACATCATGTAAAGGAAAATGGGGATCAATCAATACATTTAACCTGCATTGCTCCACACACAAACGCACAATAAAAAATGTGCAAAGAATTATCATTGTTGGAGCTTATTGGGTGATGAAATTGCCAGTTAGTGAACCAGAGATTCGGATATGGACAAGCCGATTGTAAGAGCTGTCTCTGACTAACGAGAGATGTTCAAAACATTAGAACGTTATTATAACCAATGTTATAATGTCAATGCAACTGCTTATCCCAATACTAACAATGTAGTTTCTCAAATGAACATATTTTACAGAAGAAAATGGTTCCTAAATCATAATCATAAAATATAATAAAAGGGAGCTCAGAGACTTTCTTCATTTTATGAAACGGAAAGTGTGGTAATCTAGACTTGCCACGTGTTCTAGACTTGGACTTTCTTGGTTATATTTGTTTCAGGGTCTATATGTAGACTATGCAACCATTGTAACGCCAAAGGCTGGAATCAATGCATATTCTGTCACTGACGGGGTTTTAGCACTATGAAACAGGGTGTAACGAGGGTCAACAAATCAAGTTCATTTCAGACGAATTCAACAATGAACTTAGTATATACCCCTATAAAACCTACAGGCATATCAAGCCATTGGACAATTGCGCAGATCGATGTCCATGCTGTTGATCACTGGATTGTCTGGTCCAGACTCGATTATTTACAGACCGACGCCATATAGCTGGAATATAGCTGAGTGCGGCGTAAAACTAAACTCACTCACTCACTCAAGCCATTGGATTTACCAACAAAATGAGACATAGATCACATAAATCGAAACCGTACATTGGGAGCTAGGGTCTTCGGAAGCTGCGCCATTTTGTTGGTTATGTTGTTGGTTTTTTTGGTGTTTTCTTGTTATTTTTTTTTTTGTTTGTTTGTTGTTGTTGTTGTTGTTTGGGGTGTGTGGTGTGCGTTACAAGCCGATGTGCATTTAACAGGTTTTGACACCAAATGAACACGAAAAGGGAAACCATTGCGTAACCCACCATGTGTATCCCGTCAACACGTTCTGTAACATCTCATTAGGATTCATTGAAAAATATTTCTCTTTTATGAACACATTTTAAGAAATCGATATATTGACGCTTCTTAAATATCGACTCGGTTTCTTGCTCTTCTTTTGTCAATATGGGTTCTTACTTGTTTTGAAACCGTTTCGCAGACACAATTGTGAAATTTAGACCAAGGTCTTCCTTTCAGAGGTCCTTACTCAATGAAAAATTCGAACAAATAAATCTATATTGTCAAGGTATCTGATCAAATAAAGATACGTTCATTATAAACGTACGTTTTGATATATTTCAAATCATTCCACAATATCAATAATACGTTTTTTTTATGAAAGCAAAAATTGATAATCAGAGACAATCTCCGTACAAAATTATTGAGCGCTTTATTTATGGTGATCCATTCATATAATATTCACCGCTATTTAACCTTACAGACATGCATGCGTGATGTTTTTCAGCGTTGGCGGTCTGTATTGACAGTTTACAGTAGACTATGACCGTTATGAACCAAGCATTATTTACAAGACCTTGTAGGTGTAGGACTGTTTAAATGATTTATATATAACTGATACTGTGATGAAACAAAGAAGGACCAGTTATTATGCATTTTTGTAAGTGATCATTGCGCTGCGTGGAATCGTAACCATGGTGATTTCTCGATCTATCCATCCACTGGTGTAGCTGCCCTGCATTTTTTTTGTACGTGATGAAAGCAACAGCTGTTGTTATTTTTCTAATTGCGTGTCGTCTGGAGCTCACTTGGGAGTCCACGATCATATTGTTTTGCTGTTTCCAAGGGACGCACCGCTGCACGTCTGATCCCTTGTGCTCCCCGCTTTGTATAGAATATGTTATAAATCTTCATCCATGTGTAATATTTTTGCAATATTTTGTTTTCAGATTGCAGTGATGGTTATGCAGGTGGTTTCGGATATCCCGACGGCTACTACAGCATCCAGCCAACATCTACATCTACGCCATTTACAGTGAGATGTCTCATGAAGTCAGGTGGAAGAACAATTATCCAATACCGCATGGAAACACCAACTGCCACTGTCGACTTCAACCGGAGTTGGGCAGAATATCGTGACGGTTTCGGGTTGACCAACAAAGATCACTGGCTGGGACTGGAGAAGTTGTACCACATTTGTAAACCTGGAACATTTTCACTGAAGATTGAAATGAAATTTCGAGACAATTCCTTTAAACAACAGTACTACGACAACTTTTATCTTTCAGACGAGGCAGATGGGTATCGTATGTATTTTGCGCGGACACGTGGTAAAAGCGGTGATCCTATAGGAGACTGTTTAACTCCGCTAAACGGTTCTGCATTCAGTACATACGACAGGGATAACGACAATGATGCCGGAAGTTGTGCAGTCAGATACGAAAGCGGGTTTTGGTTTGACGCATGCGCAGACTGTAATCCCAATGGTCGTCTGCTTCGTCCACTGAATGAGCAGCGAACAAATGTTGTGTCTGAGGTATTCTGGACAAACGACCTTGGCCAAACGGTACCCTACAGATTGCTCATGTGGCTGGTAGAAATGTGAGCATCTAATTTTGTACAAATAATCGGGTCGGGTGGTCTCAATGGCCTGTTTGATGCATGTCATCGTATCAAAAGAACGTAGACAGATGCTCACTTCATCTGGCTCTGTCTCTTATTAGTTTTATTAGTCACTCATAACCTAACCGGTGGTGTCTCTCTCTCTCTCTCTCTCTCTCTCTCTCTCTCTCTCTCTCTCTCTCTCTCTCTCTCTTCTCTCTCTCTCTCTCTCTACTCTCTCTCTCTCTCTCTCTCTCTCTCTCTCTCTCACACGTTTTGTAATGCAGGTATGTTCTTTCATAAACCTATTTATAAGCAACTTACGTAACATTATTCTCTACATCGACACATGTTCTTCTTGATAATGCTTAGTCAATACGAGCGGGCAATGAACGGTTTATTTTGCCCGAGTTCATCTTTAAGAGTCTCTGAGTATTTTACCACATCAATCGCGTATGTCTAATACATTACTGTACTGTACACATGACATGCTTCTACACTTAACTCTCATTGTGGACTAAGTCGATTCTTAATGACATAGGTGATTATATTGATCAGATTAACGTATAGTGCGTTTGGCTCAAAAGCGGACCAATAAATTGCAATCTAACTCAAAAACTAATAAACATATAATACTCAATGAAACGCTGATCATAATCAAAATATCAGACCAACTCTGTGATTTGTTTCATTAAAACATTGACACAGTTCACTATTTGTTACGAGGGAGGAGTGCAGAGAAAGGGACAGCCAGAAGTACGTGCACAAGTGCCGACAAAGTTGTTGATTCATTAACCTGTGCTGTGCCGTCTCCATCCTTTCTCGCACACCCGGCTGTCCCTTTCTCTGCACTCCTCCCTCGTAACAAATAGTGAACTGTGTCGATATTTTAATAATAATAATAATATGGACATTTGTAGAGCGCAGTATAGTAGTAACTCCACACCTCAAGGGCATGCTCTTTGCGCAACAGTAAATATGTACACTATATACAGGAAGAAGTTGTATAAGATTTAGTTGTGCTTGAACAAGAATGTTTTGAGTCTTGATTTAAAGATGGAGATGGAAGGAGATGACTTGACATGGAGAGGTAGTGAGTTCCAGAGGGAAGCTGAGTGAACGCTGAAAGATCTGCCGCCAAAAGATTGCAACTTGTATTTTGGGACACTGAGAAGACCTTTGTCTTGAGATCTGAGAGACCGCGCTGGAGTGTAGGGTGTTATAAGATCTTGCATGTAGGAGGGTGATGAACAGTTTAGTGCTGAATATACAAGAGACAGCGTTTTGAATTTTATTCTTTCGCGGGTGGGAAGCCAATGGAGTGACTTTAGTATGGGAGATATGTGACATCTGGATTTGGTTCTAGTGACAAGTCTTGCTGCACTGTTCTGGATCTTCTGAAGTCTGTTCAGTTGTTCAGAAGTGATGCCTGCACAAAGACTATTGCAATAGTCCAGCCTGGATAAAATGAGGGATCTTGCCAGAGTGGCAGCAGCATCAGTTGTTAAGAGATGGCGGATGGCTGCAATGTTCCTGAGATGGAAGTGGCAGGAACGACACACATGAGTGACGTGTTGCTCCATGTTGAGCCCTGAATCTAGATACACACCAAGATTCTTTACCACAGGGGAAAACACTATGTTTGTATCTCCAATCCTGATGTTAGGAACCTGGCATTTCTGTAGTCGGGAATTCGGAGCAATAAGGATAGCCTCGGTTTTGTCCTCATTTAGCACCAGCTTGTTTGATGTCATCCATGATTTGACATCTGAAAGACATTGTTCCAGTTTCAGACATGTCAATAACTGGTTATCCTGGTCTAAAGTATAACTGTCAGACAGCTGAGTGTCATCAGCGTAAAAATGGTGATCTGTGTCACGATCCTGGATGAGCTGTCCCAATGGCCTGGTGTACATGGTGAACTTCATTGGGCCTAACACCGATCCCTGGGGAACACCACAGGAGAGATCGAGCTTGTCTGACATTGTCTTGTTGATAAGAATGGATTGTGTCCTCCCTGTCAGATATGAGGAACACCATTGCAGAACATTTCCACGTATGCCATACTGGTGCTGTAGACGATCGATGAGCTTCTGGTGGTCGATAGTATCAAACGCTGCCGATAAGTCTAATAAGATGAGCATTGCAACCTTGCCAGAATCAACAGACATTCTGATTCTATCCAAGACATAGTTCAGAGCTGTTTCTGTGCTATGAGCATATCGATACGCGGACTGGAACTTATCCAATAAGTCGTTGTCTTTAATGATAGTTTGTTAAACAACTTTTTTATTTTTAGGACATAAATTCTGCAAACACCTCTCCGAGTTGGTCTGATGTTTTCATTATGATCAGTGATTCATTGAGTATTTTATGTTTATTAGTTTTCGAGTTAGATTGCAATTCATCGGTCCGCTTTTGAGCCAAACGGATTATAGGTTAATAGATTTTCATAATAACATTGTATTAACGCTTTTCCCACCTACTTTAGATAACACATGCGCATTGTGAAGCGTGTGCTACACCAGTCAATACCAAAACTATTTTCTTAAACAGTTAGGAAGAAAGAAAGATTTCTTCGGATTTCCTGTCTGGAAAGTGTGTAAAAGGGTTTGGGTAAGAGTTATTTAAGAGTCAAAAGCATCATTACAGTTCAGCCAATGGGTCAGACACAATGCCCGTTGCGTACTGATAAAAAACAACAGGAAAGTAAATTCTAAATGAATAATTATTGCTGGTCCCTGAATGCGTTGACGGCGTTGTTTTTTAGAACTTAATTTTATCTTCTATCCGTAATGAATTCGTAACTTATTTACGTATTAGAAACATCGGATCTTTGAATGGCATACACATAAGGAAGAGAATTACCTATCGCCTATCAGCGGCAGTTAACTGTTGGCTACGTCTGTTTAGCCAACATTTTTGTTGTCGTATTACTTTTATTGTTCTTACATCAGAGGCATAGCTACCATTATAAAAAAAAACGGACTGACATGATTGTTGCTAAGCAAGCCCTCAATACCATCTAAATATAAAGCTTTGCAACCTTTACTGGCTTGCTACGCATCTGTACATGTATATACCTGCTCCCTGCCTCTTAGCATTCACTCACCTGGTAAGCATATACTCCCAAACGTTTTGTTACTCATAACAAAGAAGCTGACGTCTATAAAATTATCTTTCATTGTAGAAATATTCAGCTTTAGATATTACTATTCGCAACAGCGCATGGACGTCTTAGTCGCGTTGAAAAACAAGTTGTATGTACAATTTGTACAGTGTGTTGGAGTGCTTTGATATATTTATGTACAGATGTTTGAGGTATGTTCGTGTGATGGAGAAAGGGTCACATGACACAATAAATATTGTATGAAACTGAAGGTTGTCGATTACTTGAGAACAAGTCCTGAGCCGTAAGTGAAAGTTGTTTATCGACGTAGTCATAAACATGTCAGCAATGTGTGGAGTGGGTGAGTATATCTTTAAGCCGCTTTGAGCAATATTCCAGCAACATCATGGCGGGGACACCAGAAAAAGGGCTTCACACATTGTACGCATGTGGGAAATCGAACCGGGTCTTCGTCGTGACCAGCGAACGCTTTAACCACTTGGCTACCCCACCGCCTCAGCAATGTGTGGAAGTAACGCATATTCAACACACACTAGGACACAGTTTTTTGTTAAAGGCCGCATCCAGAAGGGGGTTCGAATCCCCTGAAACACCCCACCACCCCTTTTCCCACAGAGAGGAATTTTAGGTAAACATTATACATTTGGACTTTTGTCAGTGTGTCATTTTAGAGCGTCTACTGTAAAATATCCACGCCCTCCATGATAGCCGCTGAAACATAAATATTTATCATCCAAAACTGTGTTCCACAGGAAATATCGCTTTGACAGTAGATTTTGTACAATGCCTGACAATGCTATGACGTCATGAACTTGATGACGTCACAATGCTATGACATTGCTGCACTGCAAGTCTAATGGTAGTACAGTGTTCATAGATGTACATTAATCATTGAAAACTAATGAAGAATGATTTTTGGTGATAAATAGAATCTCACTCTCGTGTCTACTGATATCAATTATATCAACACTTGTTGATAAAGGTAAAAAATATTCTCGGCAAGCCTCGGATATTTGTAACTTTATCAACTCGTGTTGATATAATTGATATCAGTAGACACTTGGGTGAGATTCTCTAAATATTCACCGTGCTTACAGTACAGAATATAGGTCGGTTTTGGTGGGCATTACTTATATTTTCCCTTCATCTAAGAAGAATATGTGTGTGATTTTGTTGTTAAATAGTTCTCTTGGAAAGAGGGCGGTGAGGTAGCCAAGTGGTTAAAGCGTTCGCTCGTCACGCCGAAGGCCCGAGTTCGATTGCCCACATGGGTACAATGTGTGAAGCCCATTTCTGGTGTCCCCCGCAGTGATGTTGCTGGAATATTGCTAAAAGCGACGTAAAACCATACCCACTAAATCTCACTCTTGGAAAGAATGTAAGGGAAAAAAACATGCAGCATGTCTGCCTTTCATGCGATGTAAACGGAGATGATAGTGAGAATTGCTAGGACGACAGTTTGAATCACCAGGTAACGTGTTGAAATCAAGCGATTCTGCTTAAATATCCTAAATAACCTTTTCGTACAAAAACGAAGCTTGCCAAGAGGAAAAAGTGAAGTCTGGAACACTTAATTACGGCTCCTTTTCATGTATGTTTCTGAGATAACATGTTAACACCACAACACTAGAACTAATCCTGTGCTTATGTCTTCTCCAATTTACTCAAGTATCCGTAAAGCTAATTGCACGTTGAATAATTTAAAGTGTGTGCGTTTTTATAGAAACTGCAATGACATAGACATATTGTCTTGTTTGAAATGCAATATTATTACTACATTAGGACAACCAGGAGACAAGAACAGAAAAAATCTGTACTTACTCTGACATCCATATATGCACTCAAAACACCAGCTACTACGGTTCGGTTGTGTCACAAGTCTTGGGTTTGTTTTTCAACGTCAGCAGTGTCAATCAGCTTCAGCTTGAACTGTAAACTCACTCTTCAGAAAGCTAGATCACAATGTTATAGATAAAGGTTCTCTTCAAGCCATTTGTTTATTGTGAGTGAGTTGAGTTTTACGCCTCACTCAGCAATATTCAAG